GAGGGGGTGAAGATTATTGGGATCCCTGGGGGTTAGGAGGGGCTGGGGGAATTTTGTGTCCCTGTGGGTTGGGGGAGGTGGGAGCACTTGGGGACCCTCTGGGTGAGGAGTGGATGCAGGTGGTTGGGGGGGTCTCTGCGGTTTAAGAGGAGGTGGGGTCCTGTCATTAATGGGGTCGTTTTGGGGTCCCTGTGGGTTAGGAGGGGAAGGGGACTATGGGGGGATCCCTCTGAATTAGGAAGGGTTGGTGGTGTTTAGGGTCTGTGTGGGGTAGGAGAGATTGGAGTTGTTTGGGGTCCCTGTGGCTTAGGAAGGGTTGGGGGTGTTTGGGGTCCCTGTGGTCAGGGAGGGTGGGCTAAGGGTCTCTGTGCCTTGGGGGGTCTCTGTGTTGTGGGGTCTCAGGGCTGCCCCTTTTCCCCCAGGGAAGCCCACCCTGTACGGCAGCGTCACCCGCCGCGGGCTCAGTTCCGAGGGCATCCCAGACATAGCAGCCTCCGAGGGATTCCTGGTTCAGGAAGTCACCAAGGTGCCAGGGCTGCGTGTGGGGGGGTGACACGAAGAGGGGACACACTGACAGCCCAAAGCTGTCACCCTGCAGGGTCCTGTCCAGCCATCCTAACCTCCCTCTAGGCACAGCCCTGGGGCTGCTCCAGGACATCCCACAGGGATGGGGCTCTGTGTCCCTTCCCACCTGCATCCTTGGGAGACCAGCCCAGCACTGACCTTTCCATGGGTTTCCAGGCTCTGGGATCCCCCAGCTGGCTCCAGGTCACAGCTCTTCCTCAGCAGGATCAACAGCACCTCTAATTCCTTTTTTTCCCCCTCTCTTTCCTTCCTTAGAAAAGCATCCTCATTTCTTGTCCTCATGAAAATGTGTCCACAAAGTTCCTGGCTCCGTACACAACTTTTTCTAGGATTCATCAGAAAAGTGTGAGTATCCTGTGAGGTGGGAGGGGAATCCCTGGGGGTGACTGGGAACTCTTCACAACACATCCCTGACCATGGTGTCCTCGTGCTGGGGGGGGACTGGAGCGTGGATTGGTGTGTGTGGGGTTGGAATGGACATGGAACTGTGATCTTGTAGTGGTTTAGGAAGGGTATTCCCCAATGTAGTGTTCCCAATGGATGGAGAGGGGAATTGGAGGCACAAAAGATCAGGGATTTAGATAAGAACGATGAACAATTTACTGGGAACAGCAGTGGAATAAGGAAACAAACAGAAACAAAAATACCAATTAACTGTACAGGCCAGGGAACAATCCACATGGGAACCCTCACAGTGTGCCACCCAAATATCCCTGGGATCCCTGTAAAATTGAACCCTGTCCTAGGCAAAACCAGGACATTCCCACCCCTTATTGTAACCCATCTGCATCGTGCCCAGATCCTACCCCTCCCAGCTACATCTACACACACAAACATGGGGCTCATTCCCATTTTTTTCACTGGATTTCTGAGCCTTACGAAACCAATCCAGTGCATTCTTTGAGACCTCGCTCTCTTCCAACACTTTTCTTCGGGAGCTCTTCTAAAGCTCTTCCGCAATGAAAACTCTGACTTTGAGTTTGCTGGAGCTGTTCCATCCAGGCAGCTCAGGGATGTCTTCAGCAAGGATAGCAGGGCTGCGGCAGATGGGGCAGATGCCGCAAAGCTGGGAGACCGCCATTCTGATGCATTCCCTGTGGAATTCATGCCCACATTCCAGTTCACACCTGTCTTTGCCTAGCATCTCATGGCATACTCTGCAGGGATAATAATCACGGTCCTTGAACCAAGGAAAGAACTTAACCCCTGCGAGGCGAGAGAGCTCTTCATCGTACTGGCAGAGACGGGCGGCCAGTCTGTTCACCGTGAGCCGCGCGCTCCATCCGATGGTTGGGAATGTCTTGGAGTAAGGCCATGGAGCGCTTTCTCGGAGCCTGTGCCACGTGTAGAACGTACAGAAGGCTTTCCCCGGATCCAGGGGGAACTCCTCCCTCACAGTCCCCTCGTAGAGCACCTGCAGCACAGCCAATTCCCTCAGGTACTGGACACCTTCCTTCAGGTACCTCCACGTGTTCCTGGGCACAAACAGATCATTCTTGGCAGGACGCCATTCCTTCACGCTGGACAGGAGCCTCTTCCAGAGGCTGAGGGGTTCTGCCGTCTTCCCGATCCCCTTGTCAATGTGCACTTTCCAGGCCAGGCATCCCAGCTGCCTGGCTTCTCTGCCATCCAGTATTATATCCTGTGCCCCGAAGGCCCAGCACCGCGCCAGCCAGGCCAGCACCGACTCGTTCAGCTGGCGCCGGAAATACTTCCGGATATGGCGCAGCCTATCCAGGCATGGGCATTGCAGGCTCAGCGCTGCCCCTGCCTCCTCTTCTTCTGAGGACCCCGTTTCCTCTTCATCCCTCACCAGGGGAACTGATTTGCTCTTGGATTTCTTCAGGGCAGGGGCAACTGCTTCTGGCAGGGGTTCAGCTGCAGTTTGAGTGGCCACTGATTTGCTCTCGGATTTCTTCCCTAGAGCTGGAGTTTGAGTGGCCACGCTGAGAGTTGTTCTCTCTTGCCCCCAGGGGAGCTGCCTGGCATCCAGCAGTGCCCGGTAAGCACTGGCCATGGCCCAGCACAGGGCAATGAGTCGCTCCTCTCTGCAATTGTCACGGCATTTTTCTTTCAAGTATTCTGCCATTTTATCAGGGTCCTGTAGTTCTTCAGGGGTGAACCTCCAAAGCATCGAAGGAAAATAGTCCTCCAAAAGCTGGCCGATTTTCTCCCACCTTCCCTGCCACTCCTGATTACACGCCCTGGGGACAAGCGCCGGGAAGGCCCTGCTAAAAAATCCTCTTATCTTTCTAAACACGGTGCGGACCGCGCCTCTAAGCACGTAGGAGACCGTGCCGAGGAAACTCGGCAGACACAGCAAAAGGAGGATGCTTTGCATAACACTGAAAGGCAATTCAAAAGCTCTTGTGTACGTCCTGAAGGAGTAATAGCGGTGGAAAAGCTGGAGAAAATAGCCCTTCCCTGTTCTCCCCTCGGGCTGGGCAGGTTTATTAATGGACTGGTGGACGCAGAGCGTCACGTCACAAATTACTGTCGCAGCGAACAGCACCAAAACGGCGATGAGAACTTTCTTTGCTCTGGGATAGTACTTCAGGATGGGCTCGAGCGGGTGTTTATAATAAGGGCTAAAGAGCATAACGCACAGGTACAGGTGCAGCCACCCTGTATCCATTGCCAGTTCCTAATACGGCCAATGCTGGGATCCGAATCGTCCCCGACCCGCTGCGGGCAGATCTGTTCTATCCCAACCCTTCCTGCCCCCGAATTAGGCTGGGGTGGTTTAAGAATGGAATTCCCGAATTCCAGCCGGTGGCTGGAGAGGGGAATTGGAGGCCCAAAAGGCAAAGGACGGGGGCTGAGATAAGAACAACTCACTGGGAACAGCAATGGATGGAACGAGGAGCGACCACGCGGGATGCGGCCGGGAAGGAGGAAACGCGTTTTCCCGCGTTTCCTGTTTGTCCCGCCCGCGCATGGAGCGGCGGGATCG